ATTAAATTTGTTTAATGATTAATTGACGAAGAAAGGAAGATACAGAACAAATAGAGGTATAGATATATAATTTTACAATTTATAGTTATTAAACTGACTTGAGAAATTGACCGAAAAATGCTTATCGCTTTTCAAAAACTGCTCATTTCGGTTTGAATGCTGATTGTCTCCATCGAGCGAAAGCTGCTCGACATCGTCCAAAAATTGTTCATYCTCGACCGAAAACTGCTCGTCTTCGTTCAAAAACTGTTCGCTGTTACTGCAAATCATTATGTCATCGTCTGACTCATCGAGTGTGTCTTCAAACAAATTATACAATTCCTTGGCTTCTTTTATAGCTTCACAGTGCATATATTTTTCACCTGGATCTGTCCATTGGTTGATTTCGTTGACTTGGTACATAGGTTCAATTTTGTTCGATATGGGAAACATCTTAAACATCCTTTCTGTTCGACAGATGGCCATGTCAAATAAAGCTATTTCTATATCTAGAGCATCAGCATTTTGTTTCCTTGTCTTTCTGATCAGCCATTCAGCTACTGCAAAGTGATGAAAACCTTCTTCAAATCTTGCATTTTTTTTGGCTTTAATTCCTTGCGTCACAATAGTTTTGACAAGCAATCGAAAGTTCAACCTTTTTTTCGCTTCTTCTTTTAACTCCAGTAAAGACCAGTTTTCTGGTGGATTGGGATCCATTTCTGCTACCATAATCTTTGCTTCTAAATGCATTTCATGATGTATGTTTTCTGAAGATCTGACGCATTCATAGAAAGCATTTACTGAGTGCTCAGTTGAACCGACTGATTTGTACTTGTGACCCAACTCGAACTGTACTTCTGCCTTTAGCATCTGTGGAATACTGTCCGGTTCACTAGACGCTTCAAGCAGGCTGTAAGCATTTTGTAATGTACGTAGCGCTTTATCAGGCTTTTGATGGATAGCAATTTGTCTCAAAAGTTGTTTTTGGAATAAACATGCCAGTGTCCAAACGCTGTATGGCTCTTTAACAAACCCCCCATATTCTTCAACTCCCATTGCGAAGTGTAAGTCAGACATAACTGTTGGAAATACTAGTCTGTTTGGGCCGTCGGCAATRGTTCGTGCCTTCTCTAGGTAATCTATAGCATCTTTCGTATATCCGTTGCTGCCGTAAAATACGCCGGCCGCGTACCAGAACACCGCAGATTCTGGTCTATTATCGTTGCTACCATCATCGTTACAGGCACGATTGTTCAACATAAGAGCAGCAATCATAATGGCTTCGGCCACCCACAACCATTTGTACTCTGGTGGATCAAACCATTCATCTGTGTCAGTTTTCTCGTATTGGCAGACCAAGAATACAGCATGTAACATGTCAATCGGCGATTCGCTTACTTTCAGCAAATCATGTATAGTTAATAGCAGATTCGGTTCTGATAAAATTGATGGACCACATATGTATGTATGATTTTGAATTTGACGTCTGTTGTCCATATTCAGTATGAAGTTTGTATATTCTGAATGAAAATTGTTCTCCAACTGATCAATGAAACACTTATCGGCTAGTGTAAGCAATTTGTAGCGATCAATGTTCATCTCCTCACTGAACGATTCTAATGACAGGGACGATTTTACTCTTTTACTTTTCATTAAATCACATTTTTTCGTTTCATCGTGTTGTTTTTTCTCCATCCTACTTTTATCCAGGTACCGGCTTTTAACATGTTTGTATATTGGGTTGATGTTTCGCTTAGGGAGCATCGGAATAGTTTCTGGTGGTTTTTTATTCATTTTTATGATATTTTAAAAATAAAATAATGTTGGTTCAGTACCGTTTATTTTTTTTATTGGTTGCCATGCTATATTTAATTCAAGCATAATTTTTATCAGATGAATTAAGTTGTTTAAACAGTGAAATGGTGTATACAATTAAATTAAATGAACACTGAATACATTAGTTAATTAATATATTAATTAAGTATACTTTTACAGTAAAGTAAATAACAATGATATACTCACAGAGTAGGTGTTTTTTATTAATGTTTTGTTTCACCTATTTTTGAGATACAATATATATATATATATATAGGTTTCGCTATATTCACGTAATATAGTCAATACTTTTTTATCCAATAAAAAAAAAATCGTTTATGGAGTAATTGTTTGTAATAAATATATTTATCCATGAATAAACATTATTGTTTTAGATTCTCGACAGATCGAAGACTGCATTTATTTTCAATGTATTTTTTTTTTCATTTTTTTTTCATTTTTGCCTGACTTTACCTAGTAGAAAAAATACTGAAATCATCATCGTGGAGTAAGATTCCTGATAGAAAAATAATAGAAAATTATACCTGGTTAGTAATATTGTAGGAGGTTAAAAATCAAATTTGTTATTCTTACTACTTTTAAAATAATTGGAGGGAAAAATGAATTTAATATAAATATTATTTTTACATTATATTTTTTCTACTAGAAAAAGTCAGGCAAAAAAAAATAAATAAAAA